GTCTATAAAACACCTGTAGAAGTTCTTCTGTCTATAGGAGGTATGCAGAAGCCTTCCGTCAATAGAAAACCTGTATTGGGTCTGCTGTTTATGGTAGATCCCTAAAAGATCTTGTGCATAAAGAACATCTCTAAAAGGTCTTTTTTATAAGGTATTCTATATATATAGACGATATACTGTCTATAGAAGAAAGGTAAACTGACCTCGTTTTGAGAAGTATTATATATGGTTTTCTATCGTCTATCTATACGGGGATCTGTAGAGGGTCGTATGTCTGTTGAAGACCTGCTTCAGTCTACAGAAGACCTGTAAAAATATGCTTTGTCTATAGAAGTCCCACAGAAGATCTTTTACCAACGGAAGGCCTCTAAAAGGAAATTTCTTCATAGCAGGCCTGTAGAGGATCTTCGGCCTTTAGGGGAGCAGTATTTGGTCTACATAAGACCTATTGAAGGTATGCTCCTTATAGAAGGATATTCGGCTGTCTGTATTCGGGTGTCTTTTACCTAGGGAATATCCTTATCTTCCATTTAAAATCTACCTTTAATTTTTCTCCGTGTAATGAGTGTAATTGCAATTGCCAGACTATGAAGAGATACCTTAAACGCTGCATTTATTTTTCTTGGCTTGTCCGTCTGCGCGATGATTATGGTAGTATGGTGATGTTGATGTTGTGTTGATCGCTGGGTTTTGATCTTTTAAATAAATGTGTGGTGTTGTGCGGTTGTTGTTGCTGCTGCTGTTGTCTATTAGCGGCGCTTTGTATTTTAACAGGAACGAGAGAGCCATTGTCATGTTATGCGCTATGTAAAGCAAGTGTTGACATGTTTAGTTAAACAAACTGAATTAAGTTTTTTTAAATATTACATACACTTACACACACACACGTCTAGAGACAGACAGACAGGCCTACACGACACGTACGCCAAAGACGAAGTACGTACGTTCCGTACAACAACAACAAATTTGCAAAACATATTGGCGATGATGACTGTGTTCTCTCAACCGTCTCAGCCAACTCTCGCTTTGCATAAATAAAATGGGGAGCAATAACTAACATTAACACTGCATAAATTAATATACGAACAGTAACAGCAACAACGCCAGCAACGATGAAAAACTACAGAATACTTAACGATCCAATTTATTATCAGATATGTCAAAACGGACGAAGGTAGAGACAGCCAACGGTTTGATGTCTGATGTGTGTGTGTGTGTGGATGTCAACAAAATAAAGCCACAGCTCAATGTAAATTAAATGCTTGTAACTGTCGTTAATAAATTCAGACAACAGCTACAGCAACAACAACAACATCAACGAGAAAAAACACCCATTTGATATTGCAAATTTGTAAGATACGACTTGACAAAATTGGTAACAATTAATGCTTCTTTGCAAATGGTGTAGAGGTATGATGATGGATCGGGTTGTAACAAGTGCGATTCCATTAAATTGATTTTTTCAGTGGGAAAATGTTTTGATAAATTGATAATTAGGAAGGGCATGAAAATCAAAATTTGGACAATGAAGTTGAAATTTTATTTTTGTAGAAGGACTCGTTCCTATTAGGGGAAGTTTATATATAATTATTCTACATAACGTTGCTCAAATTAGTAAATAGGTCTTAAAATAAAATCTCAAATCTCTCACATTTAATGTGGAGTGAGATATTAAATTTCTCCCAAAATGAGTCAGCCTTTTAAATACTTGTTATTTGTGGTTATTCTGACAAAATGTTTTAATTATTTATAAATCTTTGAAATTGTTGCCATTTTTTGAAAATTATTTATTGGTAATAATTATGCAAGAAATTTGTTTCTGGGCTGTGGTTAAATAGCTTAATTAATTGTTGTTTATTCATAAATTAGCTGGAATTTGAAAGAAATATTTCAATAATTCATAGTTGTTGGGTGGTCTTCTAATTTAAACTAATTTCCATCGTTTCTGATTTACCACATTTTTGTGGTTTTTGCATGAAATTATTGGCGGAAGTTTGAATAGTTGAAATATTAGAAAGGTAGCCAGAGTTGGTTGATGAACGAAATATGAAATGGTTATATAAATTCATAAAGATTAAAAAAATGTTTGTGAGGGGTTTATAACCAAAAAGGGTCAAAGGTCAATATTTCGAAAAAAAGTTCGGATATAAAGCGAATACATACCTGAATTTCAATATTTAATTTACTTATGGGCCAGAGATTTTTTGGGCATAATTAGGGCTTATGAAATAGATAAATATCACATATAAGGGTGTCGAGAACGCGGTAAAAAATGTTCTTCATTGCAGGCCTGTAGAGAATATTCATTTTTAGATGACTTGTATCTTGTGTACATAATGCCTATTGACGGTATGTTCATTGTAGAAGGAACTTCTGTACAGACTGTCTCCCATCCAGGGAATATTATTTTCTTCCATCAAAAATAAACACCTATTTTTTCCATGCAATGAGGGTAATTGTAATTGCCAGACAAAGAGAGATATCTTAAACTGCATTTATTTTTCTTGGATTGTCCCTTTTCGTCTACGAGATTTGAAAAAAAAAAATAAATAAAATAAACAAATAAAAAAATAGGGCCTGCAATATATTACTCTGAATTCGCAGTTAAGAAAATATTTACCGACAGAGAAATGTAAATATGTTTAACGTTAGTGGAGTACACTGAAAGCCTCAAGATCTGTCAAAATATCATCGGTCTATAATAGTCCCATTAAAGATATTCTACCAATAGAAGACCTGTAAAAGGAATTTTCTTCATTTGCAGGCCTGTAGAGCATCATCGATTTTTAGAGGGCCAATATTTGATAAACATAATACCTATAGAAGGTATTCTTTGTGTGTTCTTTGTTGGATATTCACGGAGAAAATATCCTTGGCTTTCATCAAAATGAACCCTTTCAAATTCCCTCAGAGTAATGATAGCAATTGTAATTGGCTTTTCCGTTGTCTTCTGCGCGATGATTATTTCAGTATATTGAAAGCCATAATTTGGCATTAGGTGAAATTGTCAATATAAGTTCGAGGTTTTTACATAGCTATGAAATAGCAGTTCGAATTCCAAGAGGGTAAATATCCTCCTTTCAAATTAAAAAAGGAGCAAATCGTGATGAACAGAATGAATCCCGTAACTAGAAAACCACCAAGCCGATGGCTTTTGTGCAGGCAGTTCCTCCTGTAGGGATACAGAAGGAAACCTAGTGACAGATACAGACAACGTGTTGAGGATCTGGAAGGAGCTTTTTGCAAAGCTTCTGGTATCAAATAGTAACGGTGAAGATGATACGCCAGAAACAATAGGTGATGACGATATATATTGTATACCACCTAACCAAGCAATTAATCGGCTGAAGGACAATAAAGCAGCTGGTCAGGAGCATACACCACCTGATGTGCAATTTGGCCAGAGGAATACATACCTACTGATTGGAATCTCAGCATCCTGTGCCCCGTGCAATAAAGGATACAAGAAGTGCCCACTATACTGGAATTCGGTTTCAACCCATCGCATCAAGCGTGCTGTGTGAACGACTGAAGTCAATGGTCAATAATATAATTGGATCTTAGCGGCTTGGATCAATGCGGCTCCAGACCTGGGAAATCCAATATAGACCAAAAGTTCACACTGCGCCAAATCCTGGAAAAGCCACAAAAATACATCGACATATTCATATACCTGTTCGTCGACTATAAAGCCGCATTCGACAGACCTATCCGTTCGGAGTTGTTTAAAACCATGCCTGCGTTCGGCATTAATGCAAAATTAATATGCAGGTTATATTTAGCTGCCGCAAGGTCAGCAGTTAAAGTCGGTAAGGACCTCTAGGAGTCTTTCAATACCGAAGGAGGATTCAGACATGGTGACAGTTTGTCGTGTTACCTTGTTAACACCCTGCTGGAAAAGGTCATACGAGAGGCAAAGGTGAACAGAATTCCTTCTCTGTACACCAAACGGCATTTGTTACTCTCCTACGCCGACGACATCGACATAATGGGTCGAAAATTGCGAGCGACTACGTTGGCTAGGTCATGTTGTAAGAATGAATGAGAATTCCCCAGCTCAAAGGTCATAGAAAAGCGAGCCAATTGATGGATAACGCAAAAGGGGAAAGCCACGAATCCTAGGAAAAAAAATCAAGTAGAAAAAACATTTCGGAAAATAGTCTTCCAAATTAGATGAGATGCGCACAAGACCGACTCGCTTATAGATCTATTTTAAACTAGGCTTATGGAGTAACCGTTCTGTCATAAGCCATCTAAGTAAGTATGAGTTAAGCACTATTTTATTTTTCTTGGCTTGTACGTTGTCGTCTACGCGATGATTAGTTCAATATATTAAATTCCGTAGGTTGGCATTAGTCTTTCTATAATAATATATCTCAATTTTCAATATATGTTCGTGTTTTTGCATAGATATAAAGTAGCAGTTCGGATTCCAAGAGGGTAAAATTCCTCTGTCGATGGTAGAATGTTTTATTATATACACGTTGAAAATTTATAAATCATAAATAAATGAAGTGAATAGAAAGGTCTCCAGTGCAACCTTTCATCTTACCACGAAATCGAATGAAGAATCATGTGGGGTCCAAACCATTGGGGTAGAGTGCAAATATCGGTTATAGAGGTCAATTTTCTTTGATGCCTCCTACACAAAATATCACAATTTTAAAATCAATTTAATAAAAATATTGGTTCCTCCAACACAAGGCCACAATTGTACACAAACGACAGGATATGTCTAAATATGTCTCAGGCTAAAAATATTTATTTGGCGGCAACATCGACTGACACTTTTCTACTTGCTTTTTTGTGTTTGTTTTGTCCTTTACGACCCAAGGCTCAATCATCTTCGGACACATTGCCTTATTTATGATATAGTATCCCTGATAGAACTTAATTTTAACTCCATACCTTATACAGTTTTTGCAATAGCAACAAAACTCTTTTAACTTTTAAACAATGACATGAAAAAAAGGAACAATGCTTTGCCTCATCACACTTACCTCTCATTAAGATTTTTCTCATGCTTTTGCGTAACGTTGAACAATTCCAGCGACGATTTCGAAATTGAAATTCACATTCTCGGAAGCCTAGATTAATGCCGTTGATGATCTCTTTCAGGAGGGCAGAATCGCGTCGGCAAATTTCAGCCATTTTACCACGTAGACGACGTGTCTTTTTGCACATTAAATCTGGATCAAGTAGAATATTCGAGCCCTCAGCCCTGTGTTGTCAAAGGAATGTCAAATTGTTGTAGATGACATAGGCACGACGATGTCGGTACGTCATCAGTGTTGTGGGTGGATGAGCAAGAAATAGTTGTAGTTCATGAAAAGAAAAAAGAAGGAGATAGGGAATGTAATGATTAGTAAGGTAGTTACATGTTTATTGTTTAGTATTTAAAAATATGGAGTTTTTAAAAATTGCATGCTATTAAAAATGAAAAATATCGAATGTAACTAAATCGCCTGCCGAACTTATCCCTGAAATTCTTTCAAAATCTAAAATATAATTCTTTGATCATCGATATCAATTTCCTTCCCTTAATATGCAACTAAAAAAGTTTTCTCAATTGATAATATCATGTTTGAAAATTGTTCTCTAACACTTCATCTATTTTTGGGCTCCAGCTGTTTTATTTAAAATTATGAACAGCAAACAACTTCTAAAACAAGCTACAAAAGAACAATAAATACCGACATCATCAACAATTGATAACAAAACCAATAACAACAAATTAATTGATTAACGAGATGTCTGGCAACAATAAAAAAGCTTCATAAAAATCATTTCATTTCCTGTTTTCATTATCCCCACACGCCTCTCTTTGTCGATCGATGTCGATCAAAATAATTCACACGCCCAAGAAGAAATTCTACTTTTTTTGTCGTCCAAAAGGTGTCACTGAATATCAAATTAATTTCGAAATTTTTATGACTGCTGTGCTACTGATAAGAATCACAATTTAATCAATAAATATTTTTTTATGACTTGAAATTTTTAATTAATTGGCAGCCAAATTAATTATCAATTAATTAGGCGACAACAAATATACAAGATCGTAAAACACATTGGGTTTATTGTACATATGTGTGTATGTATGTACATATGACAATGTTCCCTCGAAGGAAGATACTCATGCCTTGATACACGCTATTCGGTATGTCACACTGTTAAATATTTAATATCAATGAGACACCCCTTCGAAATACATATGGAAGCTAGCCACATCTGCACCAATTTCAACAAAACGCAATAATGTCATTCAAGTCTCATTCGAAATCTGAATTGATTTTATAGACTCAATTCAGTACGCTATGCCAAATTTCGTGCAAATCGAAAGACATATAGGGACTTTGGTGCACCATTTACATCAAATCGGACGATTTTCACAAAACTTAGCGCACATCATTCTAGGCTTAATACAGTACGATGTGACAAATTTCGTGCAAATCGAAAGTTATATAGGGACTTTGGTGCACCATTTACCTTAAATCCGACGAATATATGGGAGCTATGTCTAAATCTGAACCGATTTTTCCAAATTTCAATACCGAATACCGTTATATGGGGGCTACCAGAAAAAGTGGACCGATATTTATAATTTTTAGTGGAGATAGCCAAATAAATGTACAAAATTTGAATTTGCCAAATTGCATTCAAAATTCGAATATTTGGGGTACCCTTATATGGGTGCTACCAAAAAAGTAGACCGATATCACAGTGACACATTTTTCAACTTTAAAATTTAACATGGACCCCCAAAATCTTGAAGCTTGTGACGGATGAAAATAGCTGGGTTTTGCATTATGCTAAGGATTTCTTTTAAATTAAATTTTAAAATAAACCAAGGACCGAATAATAGTACTTATTATTGAGTCTATATCTCGTGAACTTTCGAAATATTGCTTTTCTATTACAATACATAGGTCTACAAATTTTCTCTTGAGATAAAATCAATAAAACAACAACATCATTGAAAATAGCACAACTGCAAAAAAAATTAAAATTTAGACAATGTTTTTCACACTTATTTCAGAAACTACACCTAAAGGGACAAAAAATATATGACAAAAAGATAGCCAATAGCAAATCAAACAATATTTTGATTTCATTGGTTGACTCCTTACCAGTTATAGCCTCACAAATTATCAAAATACCAAAGAAATTCACTCCCAATTTATGTTTATAGAAATAAAAATTACTATGCTTTTTTCAATAAATAGGTACAAAATTGAAGTAAAAATTAAACATGGAAAAAGGAAATTTTAATTTTCTTGCAGTTGTGCTATTTTCAGCATGATGGTGTTGTTTTATTGATTTTATCTCAAAAGAAAATTTTTAGATCTAATTAAGAGGAAAAATATTGCTTAAGAGAGAAAAGCAATATTTCGAATAGTTTACGAGATATAAATATAGTATTATTCGAAAATTGTACAAAATTTCAGCGAATATTTTAAAAATTAATTTAAAAAAAAACTTAGCTAATAATGCAAAACCCAGCTAGGGATTTTCTTCCACCATCACAAGCTTCAAGATTTTGGGGGTCTCGATTGGTTCAAGATTTTAGTGCTGCACAGTGTATTTATAATTTTTAGTGGAGATTTTAATACCGAATAGAAAGCCCGCTCAAGAACCCCAAAATATCGAAAATTGGGGGTACCCTTATATGGGGGCCTAAACGTGGACCGTTATGGTGACAAAATAAGACACTGCAAAATTTTGGCGATCTATCTCAATTCGTTTTGACGCTAGAGTTATTACAACTGACGGACATGCTTAAATCGTCATAGAATTTTGTGCTGGTCAAGAATATATACACTTTATAGGGTCGGAAATGATTATTTCGATGAGTTACAAACGGAAAAAACAAAACTAATATACCCTCCATACTATAGGGGAGGGTATAAAAAGTCATAAATTAGGGAAATTAAGGCAGGCTTTACAGACCTTAAATCCTTAATATTGAGGTGTACACACAACACCCCATTTCTCTTTATATACAACTTACAAAATATCTCTACAGTGTATTTCAAAACTTGGACTAAATGTGTTAACAATTATGTATGTTACCAATTGACACCTCTCAAGTGTTCAAAGTTTTTGACTGAAACATACAAAAAATATTTGGCCCAAAAAAAAAAAAAAATCGAATATGTATTTTGAAATGCTCTCCACAGATCACGGATTTCGATGGTATGCGGACATGGTGTTTATTTAATGGGGGGTCATTCTGGCAGCAACAGGAACACAACCACAACAATTCAACAACATTCGGGGCATGATGCTGTTGAGTTGTTAAAGCTGTTAAGTGGTACTGCTGCGGTAGCACTTGAAAATATCAGGAGTCAATGCTTGTTTATTTGTTTGTTTGTGCATTGTCTTGTGGATGCTTAAGAAGCTTATTGAAATTAAATGACATTTTCAAGTTGCTCTCTCTCTGATTTTTGGACTCTGTGTGTGTCTAAACATCTCGAAAAATAACAACGCGAACAAAAGAAACATCAATGAATCCAAAGTATAACAAATCGAATTGAATCAATTCAAATTGTTATTTTTGTAATTTTTTGTTATCCACTTATCCCAATAAACTAAATAGTTTTCCTTACAAAAACAACAGATTATGTTAATGAGAAGATTTCGTAAAGTGATTGATTCTGTCCAAATATACAAGAATGAAAAATATATATATTATCTTAATTCACAGATTGGTCCATTTTCTTCTAAAGCTCCATGGGATATCTATCGATTCAAATGAATAAAGATTACTTGCAAAATGTTTGCTGGGTTATGAATGAAAAAAAGGTGATTGAATAAGAAAAAACATTGATAACAAGTGCGATTATAAGTATCCAATGGATTTGAAGTGTTATAATCGATTATTTCATATTAAATTGTTATTAATTTATCTATAAATACATTGATAATATTAAACATGAGTATAATGGATATACTCAGGGTGAAACATATTTTTGAAGTATTTGATTTTATTAAAAATAATTTAAATCACTTTGGGTATCATGTTTTATTTGTTGAAGAGTTTGTTCTGTGTTAATTATTCGTGGTATATTTTCACATTATGGTATAGAATTTTTGTACATGTGTTTGTAACATGCGTAAGTACTTTTCAGTAAAAACTTAGAATCGTTAGTCCGACTATCTGTCCATGAATTGTTTTGAAACTCAGCCTTGTGACTAATAAGGATTATGTGATTCCTCATCAAAAGATTGGTTTCAGACACCAATCCTACTAACGCAAAATCCGTTGCAGACAATTTGGGGTCGATTTTTAAATTTCGAAGGTAATAACATGTTTTATCAAAATTTTGGATACCGTAATATTTCTCCAAAACACTATTCACAACGTTGCAAAACCTTATATTTTAACTATGTATTTATAATGATTAAAGATGGAGGATATCGGTCCACTTCTTCTAGGTCAAAATGTGTGCAATCGATACACCTTTTTGTCAAAGTGTCAACATTTTGAAAAATAATAAAGCCATTATCAATGTATTTTTACGTCGTAATACTTTTACCAAACCTAAATCACATTCGCAGATATGATCCATTGTTTTACTGTTTTTAGTCCTTTCCCCACATAGAGTCAACATTTTGAAAATTTATAAATCTAATATTAATTGAATAGATTTTATTAAACTTAGCTGACGTAAGCGATGATAGACACCATGCAACGGCTCTGATTGGGTTTAACATGACAAAGCCCAGGCTTATCTTGATCTCTCTTTCATCTCAATTGTGGACACTGACCACCCACGGTGTCACCTGGGGTAGCTATTTTTAACACCCGATGAATATGTATGTGCCACGACTTCACCCATAACAACTATAAGAATGTGTTGAGGCGCCGGGATATTTGTCCGCACTCGGAAACCCCAACTACCATGAAAAAGCAACGAAAAAGAAAACCGAACCCCCTAATGTTGAAGAGCCCCGCATGCGCATAAAGGACCAGTATCAGCGTTTGGAATGTGCTTTGTTTTCCGCTTTCGCGGATATACATAAGAAGTACAAATCCGATGTTATTGCCTTCCAGGAAATGAAAGGGAAAGCGAAAGTAAATCTGACAATTACACACTGCATTATAGTTGCCATGAAACGAGACATTAATTTGGATGCGGATTTATGGCTGACAGCAGAATAAAGGACATCATCTCTTGATTCACTCCAGTGGATGAGTGAATTGTTATAATCCGTATAAAA